CTCTGGCATTTCATTTTCTGCCTTTGATAATCCTTATTTTGAAGATTATACCAAGATGTTAAACCCAGGATATAATTTACTCAAGTGAACTACATTGGTAACATCAATATTGGATGTAGAAGCAGCAAACATAACATTAAAGATAGAAAAGGAACTATCAAAATCTAGGAACCTTACATTGTGTGTAGACGGTTGGTGCAGTCCAATGAAGTATAGCATATATGTCTTCGTTATAATAACAGATGAAAAAAAACAATATATCTATTCTTTATGTGATTTTTCTATGTTCTCTTATACAGCCAAGTTTAATGCGAAAAAAATAATAGAAGTACTAGAAAATATCGGACCTGATAAATTTGTTGCAATAGTTTCTGATGCAGAATCAGCAATGATGGCAGCAAAATGACAGGTTATAGCAAAATATCCACATATTTTACCTATTAGATGTATTGAATACCACATACAATTAATCTCTAGTAGTATCTGTTGTTTACCACATGTGCGAAATGTCCTTTCTAACTGTCAAAAAATTGTAAGTTTTTTTAGGAATTCTTATATAGCTGGTGCTGCCCTTAGAGAAGAAATTATATGTACCTTCACGGTTGGTTGAAATTTAAAGTCTAGCACTAAAACCCAATGGTCAATGGTATGGGATTGTTGTGAATCAATTTTAAGTAATGAAGCGAACATTCGATCGGTATATAAGTTTTCTATTTCACTATCTTTATTACTTGTTACACTTTACATAATTATACTTTAAATTAAAGTAACAATTGCAATAGATTTTAGAACAAAAACCTCAAATTTTTGATCATGCAAGTACCGTAAAAAATCTAATAATTGATTATCAATTTTGGATTAACGTAGAACAATTAAGAAATATTCTTGGCCCAGTAAAACGGGCTGTAAAAAACATAGAATTTCAAACTACCTTATTGGCTAATGTTTTCATTGAACTAGTAAAAATGGCAATCGCAATCCAAGAAACTTTCATTCTTTATAATGGCCAGTTCCGGCGTGATTGCATTGCCATTTATAATAAACGGTAGAAAGAATTTGATATGGATCTGTATCTTTTATCATTTTTTTTGCATCCAACTTACCGTGGTACTTAAAAGTCATGTGTCTAACATAATTTAGAGTAATATTTTTTATATTATCTTTTTTTTATTTTTTTTTTATCTTTTTTTTTTTCCTTTATTATAGGTGATTTCCTTGAACCTGGTATATATACAAACCATGTTCTTAAAAAAGCTTTAGAAATATGGAAGCAACAATTTGGAGGTGGTCGAATTAGCGCAGATCTACTAAAAACTCAAATGAATTTATACAAAAACCAAAAGTATCCCTTTAAAGATAAATTCATTGCATCTGCTGATACAATTACTAATTGGTGGATGTCTAGAGATCTTAAAAGAAATGAAGACCATATTAAAAATCTTGCTGAAAAAGTGTATTCTATTTCTCTCCATAATGCTGCTTTCGAGCATGTCTTTAGCATACTAGGGTGGTATTTCGGAAAAAGGCGAACTAAGTGAGTTATTTTTCCTTTTACGTTGTAAATGGGGATAGAGTTTAAGTTATTCGTAATTTTTTAGTTGTTAGTATTTGAATGCTACAAAAAAAAATCTAAAATTCTTATTAGATGAAAAATTCAGACAAAAAAAGGCTTTAACGTTAAGCGTCAAATGCATTTAATGCTTACATAATCGATTTTGATTGGCCAATTCTTGTGTAATCGATTGATACATATAAAAATCAATTTTGTTAATCATTCTTTAATTTCATTTTTACTTTTTAAATGAACAAATACAAATACTATTTTTAGGCTAAGCATTGAACGCCTGAAGATTATGGCTCAAATGCATTTATATTTGATTGAAAATACTAAGTCAGAGCTTAATTATGTGAATCCAAATTTTCCTCAAGAAGATTACTTATTAATTTTCAACAAAATCGCAAGTTCCATGAAAGACAGCACGGATTTATTTGGCGAGGAAGAGTTGATTTCTTTTTTGGAAGAACTTACGGAAGAACTGATGGAAGAGCTGATGGAAGAAGACATGGAAATTCTTTCAGATAAACCAGATGATTTAGATCAAGAAAACTCCACAAATTTAAACATAGAAAATTTCATAAATTTACAATCAAAATTAGAGATTGATGAGTTTTTAGGTGTAAATGAAGAAATTGTACATGGGGATAAAGATTTTGATGTAAATGATTTGCTTTATTGATAGTTATTAATAAAATACAATTTACATATGATTCAGGGAATTGGCTTTTTTTTTTTTAAAAAAAAAAAAAGAGCTATCTTAGGAGAAGCATTAATCGATATACAGTACACATATAAAAAGGACGTTTGGGCCTCTATCTCTTGTTGATTAGAATGATAAATACCTCAATCGATTAAATGTCCG